CCTTGCTGGAAGTAATGACACCAGTAAGTCAGCATCTGTTCCATTTGATGGCAGCAAAGAGGTCAAAAAGCAAGATTGTGAACATGTTATTTCATTTGAAAAAGAAAACAATGAAGAAACCGTTCTCTATCCTGTTAAAAGCTACAATAATAATAAACAAGAGGATTCCACTTTGTCAGAAACAAATCCACAGAATAGTGTTGCTAAGCTAAAAGAGGATGACCGAATAAATATTTTAATACACAGGGATATTGGACTTATGAACAGGCTCAACAGTTGAAACACGTGCACATCGCACAGAGATTGCTAAAGTTGGAGCACATGAATTTCAACATAAAGAAGGTCTATTTGATGCCCAAGATGGGCGTTCTATGACTGCATTTTGGTTCAAACGACGCCTTCTGAATGGACAAGAGGTCAATCGTTCCTGGTTGGTTTATTTACCTCTACATAAAGCAGCATACTGCTTTTGTTGTCATATTTTTTCATCTACATGTATGGCTTCCGATAGTCGGTCTGCTTTCAAAACATAGGGTGGATTCTCTAAGTGGAAAAAATTGAAAAGTTAAATGCCCATGAAAATAGTGAAAGTCATCGTGAGTCATGTGCTGCTTGGAAAGAAACTGAGCTCCGAATTCGTCTTCAAAGTGGCATTGATGAAGAGCTACAAAGGCAAATTCAGCAAGAAAAAAAATAAATGGAGAGATGTACTGCAATGGTTGCTGGATTGTACACAATATTTAGCTTCTCAGTATCTTGCATTTCGTGGTCATACTGAGTACATAACCTCAAACGAAAACCCTGGAAATTTCCTGTCACTTTTGCAGTTACTGGCAAAGTATGATCCAGTAATGAGAGAGCATTTAGAGCGTGTTAAAAACAAGCTAACGTCAACATCTTATCTTTCTCCTGAAATCCAAAATGAGTTTATAACTCTCATAGGCTTCACATGTGCGAAATTATTGTTTTTCAGCAATTCGTAGAAACAAATACTATAGTATTCTGTTTGATTCCACACCTGATTTAGCCCATCGTGAGCAATTGGCCCAAGTGATTCTATTTGTTGACATTGACTTTAAGACAAGAAAAATAGAAGTCAAAGAGTCATTTATTGACTTTATTCAGATAAAAGAAAAAGACGCTGCCAATATTGAGAAGACAATAAGCACAAAATTAGAAGCGGATGGAATTTTATTGAGTGATTGTTCTACACAATGTTATGATAATGCTGCTTTCATGTCATGTCATCTGTCAGG